ATTATTTTAAAAAGGGAAGAAAAGGCTCAAATTCATGCAATAAGGAATGAAAAAGGCGAAATCACTACAGACTCTGTACAAATACAGAAGATCATCAAAACCTATTTTGAAAACCTCTACTCTCATAGGTTTGATAACACAGAAGAAATAGATAGATTCCTAGAAACTTATGAAGCACCAAAGCTAGGTCAAGAAGACGTAAAACTGCTGAAAAACCCATTTTCTATTAATGAAATTGGAAATGTAATTAAGTCCTAACATACAAAGAAGAGCCCAGGCCCAGATGGATTCACTGCAGAATTCTACAAGAAATACAAAGAAGACTTAATACCCACACTCCTCAACCCCTTCAATGAAACCGAAAGGGAAGCAATCCTTCCTAAGTCATTCCTGGAAACAAATATTACTCTAGTACCAAAACCTGAGAAACACCCAACTAAATAAGAGAACTACAGGCCAATCTTCCTAATGAACACAGATGTAAAAATCCTCACTTAAATATTGGCAAATAGGATGCAGCAAATCATCAAGAAGATTATACACCATGACCAAGTGGGATTCATCCCAGGCATGCAGGGATGGTTCAACATACGTAAATCAATAAATGTAATCTACCGTATCAATAAAGCCAAAAGTAAGAATCACATGATCCTTTCTATAGATGCAGAAAAAGTTTTTGATAAGGTCCAACATTCATTCATGATAACCTGACACAAAATTGGAATAGATGGTTTTTATCTCAATATGATAAAGGCCATCTAGGACAATCCAACAGCCAGTATCATACTAAATGGCCAAAAACTGAAGGCCTTTACCTTAAAATCAGGCACAAGACAAGAATGTCCCTTATTACCACTCCTATTTACAATAGTACTGGAAATAGTAGCCAGAGCAATTAGAGTATAGAGGGAAATAAAAAGGATAAAGATAGGAAAAGAGGAAGTTAAATTATCATTATTTGTGGATGACATGGTACTCTACATAGAAGACCCCCAAAAGTCCATTGAAAGACTGCTAGATATAATTAATAAATTCAGCAATGTAGTTGGATACAAAATCAATACTCGAAAATCATTAGCATTGCTATACATTAACAACGAAATCACAGAGAGAGAAATAAGAGAAGCCACACCCTTCACACTAGCAACCAAAACAATGAAACATTTAGGAATGATTCTCACAAAAGAAGTGAAAGATCTATATAGGGAGAATTATAATACACTGAAAAAAATTGAAGACGATCTCAGAAAATGGAAAGACATTCCTTGCTCATGGATAGGCAGAATAAATATTGTGAAAATGGCCATTCTCCCAAAACTCTTATACAGATTCAATGCAATCTCAATTAAAATACCATCCACATACCTCATAGATTTACAGAAATCACTCGTAAAATTCATCTGGAATCAGAAGAGATCTAGAATAGCAAACACACTTCTAAACAGCAAAGTCAAGGCAGGAGGCATCACAATCCCTGCCTTGAAGTTGTACTAGAAAGCAACTGTAGCAAAATCAACATGTACTGGAATAAAAACAGAGCCAAAGATCAGTGGAATAGATTAGAAGATACAACCACAACTACAAACACACTCAACCACCTTATCTTTGATACAGGGGCCAAACATGTTCACTGGAAGAACGACAGTCTCTTTAATAATTGGTGTTGGAAAAACTGGCTCTCCATATGCCGAAAACTAAAACTAGACCCATACCTATCACCATGTACTAAATTAAAATCTAAATGGATCAAAGATCTGAATATTAAAACAGAAAAACTAAATCTATTGGAAGACAAATTGGGTAAAAAACTTGAAGACATATAGGTAGGTAGAGAATTCATGAACAGGACTCAAACCACATGAGAAATACTTCCCAGAATCAATAACTGAGATCACATCTTATTAAAAAGTTTCTGCATATCAAAAGATCTCCAGCAGAGTGAAAAGAAAACCCACAAACTGGGAAAATACCTTAGTGAACTGTCCCTCAGACAAAGGACTTCTGTCTAAAACATACAAAGACTTAAAAAAGGGGCTGGGGATTTAGCTCAGCGGCATAAGCACCTGACTTGCAAGCAGGGAGTCGTGAGTTCGATCCCCGGTACCAATAAAAAAGAAAAAGAAAAAAAAAAGACTTAAAAAAATCAGACCCTGAAATTCAAAGATCCAATCCAAAAATGGGCATCTGAGATGAATACACAGTTCTCAGATGAAGAAATACAAATGGTAAATAAATACATGAAAAAATGTTTATCATCATTACTCATTAGAGAAATGCAAATTAAAACCACACGGAGATTTCATCTCACTCCTGAAAGAATGGCCAGGATCAAGAAAACTACCAACAACAAATGCTGGAGAGGCTGTGGGGAAAAAGGAACTCTCCTGTACTGCTGGTGGGAGTGTAGACTGGCGGGGGTCAGTCTGGAGATTTCTCAAAAACCTGGGATTGGAAGTGTCATTTGTTCCAGCTATTCCACTTCTAGGCATATTCCCAGAAGAACTGAAAAACATCATACCACAGTGATATATGTGTACCCATGTTTATTGCAGCAAATTTTTAACAACCAGATCTTGGGAACAACTTAAGTGTCCATCAACTGAGGAATGGATAAAAAAGATGTAGTATTTTTATATAATGGAATACTACTCAGCAATAAAGAATGATCACATTGAGATGTTTATAAATAAATGGACGCAGCTTGAGACCATACTCATAAGTGGAATAAATCAAACCCACATGTATAAATACCGAATAGTTTCCCTAGTGTAAGAAATGGTAAGAATACATAAAAGTATGTAGTAATCATGATTCCCCATTATATTGCTTTGAACCCTTATAATGTTTTCATTCATTAGTTGGAATGGTTTTATTCTAGATTATTTGATTTTATTGTCTGTGATGGTATGAGCAGCTATTTTGACAAAAACAAGACATTATAATAGCTAGCGCTAATTTAATATCATCTTGTTTTGAAGCCCCACAAGCTTTTGTTCTTATGTCTCCATCGATTTTTTTCATGTTGTATCTTATGGGATTTTATTGTATGTGATAGTGTAAACAAGGTTTTTTATGGACAAGGAGATAATATAGTAACCATTGTTCATTTTCTGTTAGTCTGTTCTGAATACCCTGTAATACTTTTATTCTCTTGAATGGTTTCACACTGTCTTGTTATGTTTGATACTATAGTGCATGAAGATATACTCAAATCTTTCAAGGAAAGAGACACTATGGTAGCTACTGTTATGTCGGGTTGCCTTGTGGTGAAACACTATGTTGCTTAAATTGTTCTGTTATGACCTGTTTTGTTATGTCCTCTTTTATCTTAATCTTTTTAAAAATAATAAATAAAACAGACACCACAGTGCCCAGTGTTGATCCAGGAGTGTCATAATGTGAAACCCAGCAATATTATTATTCTGTGCTCAGAGTGATTTTAGCCTGCTTGGGTTTGTTCAGTCTCAACATAAATGAAGATATGGAAAACTGCATGTATGTTTAAGTGTATAGGATTGATAGCCATATCACTAAGCTTTGGCTGAACAGAACTGGTTACAGTCGCGCTGTTTGAATCCCCACTTTACATGCTCCACTTTTGTATCTTGAATAACTATTTGTAAGAGGACAGTATGTAAATATCAACTAGTGATTTCTTACTGTTTATTCTTTCTTTGTAAGTATGTATTATTTCTACCCATTTCTGTTTTGTTTAGTCTTTCTTTAAATAAAAATTTTAAAAAAGAATTATAAATGCTTACACGATAGCAAGTAATTACTCAAACCAGCCCCAGAAGTTCCCCGAGTGAGAGCAGAGGCATTGCCTTCTGGAGATTGGTAAAGTGGGGAGAGGCAGGGTAGCCCTTGGCTGTAATCTTAGCTTTCTGGGAGGCTGAGGCAGGCAGATTGCCCGTTCAACTCTAGCTTGGGCTGCTTAGTGACTTGGTGAGAGCTTCTCTCAAAATAAAAACTAAGGCAGGAGGCCTGGGAATGTCGCTCAGTGTGAAGACCCTGGATTCATCCCTCAGTTCTGGGGATTATATTTGAGCTGAGTATGTGAGTACATATCAGGGCCTGCAGGAACACCTCTGGAGGGATTGAAGGACTCAAGGTAGTTGCCGGATATTGAAGGCAAAGAAGAGGTAAGTGGGGAATATAATCAGGTGAGATGAGACCATTAAGTGTCACACTTTTTCTTGTCTGTTCTTCTAGAGATTCATTATGCATACAAGCAATAAAACACGCCCCTTCCTTTTTATCCAAAAGCTGTACTGTGGTTCTGTTCAATTGGCATGAAGTGTAATTCGTGTCTAGTATGTCCGCATGAAGTTTTTATCTGGTTGACTTATCCATTAAAGAAGGGGTTTCTACTATGATTGTATCACATCTATTTCTTCCTTTATATCCATTAGTTCGCTGATGTGCTGAAGTGTTAGCAATTTGGGTTCACATATACACATATAATTGCTGCTATTGATGAGTTATTGTTATTAAATAATGACCTTTGTTTTTGGATGTGAAGTCTATTTTTTTCATAACTTTAAAGAAAAATCTGCAGGGGCTGGAGATTTAGCTCAGCAGTATATGCGCCTGCCTGGCAAGTGCAAGGTCATGAGTTCGATCCTCAGTACCAATAATAGCCAAATCTGCAGAAAGAAAGAGAAGCCTTGATAATGCATACCACTCAAACATACTGCAATGTCATCTCTTTAAAAATCACTTATCCTTTGAGAATACATCGAAAGGTAAGTGTGGCTCGATCCCAAATTCTCATTTCCAGTAATAATCATAGACGAGATGCATTTTCCCGATTATAAAAGCAACGCGTGCTCATGAAGCTATGTTACGGAAAACACAGCAAGTACAGAGATTATGACTGTTTCAAAACCCACAGTGAGGGGACTCCACCCAAGCTCCCCTAGATTGCACCCATAGGTTCTCAGGAACCTGGTCCTGCCTGCAATCGCAGCATTAAGCCGTTAGGTGGTGCTGTGGAGCAGAGGACGGAGTAGGACTAGAGTCGGGGCGCGACAGCACGTGCCCCAGCCCGGGGCTCCAGCGTCACGTGACAGAGTCCAGAAGCTGCTGCAGGGCAGCCAAAAGGAAGGTTAGGACCCCTTGCTGAGCAGACCAGCTGGGGTGTGCGGAGGCTGGATCAGGGACCAGAGCCCGAGCCGGAGCCCAGGCGGTGAGTGCCAGCGATGCCCGCTGCCCGCAGCCCGCGGTGGCCGGCTTGGCGGGTCCCCTGCTCACTGTCCTCCCCGTGGAGGAGATACTCCGGGGCGGGTTCCCCGGGTTAGGGACCGGACCTGGGCGCAGCAGCGGCCTTCCCAGTGAGCCAGAGCGGGGCCGGATCCTGGGGCGGCCTCCCTGGACCCAGCGAGTTGGGGAGGCTTCCTGTCCTGTTTGACAGGTGAGGGATCAGCGGATCATTCACACCAGCAGCTCGGGCTTTATGCAAGCTCCGCAAGGGGGCTCGCTGGCTCTCCTGGGCGGGAGAGCCTGCCTCGCCGGCTGCGGGAGCGATGCCCCAGAATGGCTAAAAATGGGACATCAGGTCTCAGTACAGACCTGCCAGAGCCTGGGGAGTCAGGTGGGGCAGCGCCCTCCTCTGACGGCAAGAGAAACCGAGGCCCAGAAAGCAGAGGAGAAAGGCTGAGCACGCAGCAGTGCAGCAGGAGATCCCTGCCCTCCTGGGTTCACAGGGGAGCAGGTGGAGAGTGGAGCCTCTGCTGAGCCCAAACCTGCTTCGCTGTGTGAGGCAGCCCCCGAAGGCCTGCACTGTCTACCCGGGCATTGCACGCTGTGAATCTACATCTCTTTATACAGAAGGAAAGTGAAATTACCTCACCAAAACATTTGTGGTAAATGAAAGCTTTCCCTGGAGGAGAAAAAGAAGCCTTTTGTAACTTGAGATGCTCAGAGCTTAAGCGGATGTCAGACAGGTGCAGCCCAGAAGACGAGGTTCCTGATGACCTCTGGGAGGCCCCCACCAGGACACCCTGGAGATGGGTTCTGAGGGCTGTAAGGGGGAACCGGGAACAAGTGAGCAAGTTTCCAGTCCTCCCAGGAAGAGGGTTTCCCACAGGGAAAGAGAAGATGCCAATGTCCCATCGTGCCTTTCCCTTTTGGGAGTGCTGTGCTTACTGTCCACTCCACCCACACTGGGCACCAGTGTCCCTGGTGCATTTCTGGGCACAGAGCTCCCAGGGGATCCCACAATCAGAGGTTTGATGACAAGCAGCACAGTGTTCTGGGGAGACCAGCGAGACAGTGAGGAGGAGAAGCAGAGGGGAGGAGAGAACGTGGGGCTAACACCTCTTCTGCAGGTGCTGCTCTGAGGTAGTGGATCGCCTGGCCCAGGCAGTGGCTTTCAGCTGGCTGTGGTCTTAGGAAGCATCGTGAACCTGTGGGTCTCAGTATTGCACTCCCAGGGCAGCTGCAGAGGAACAGCACTGTCCAAAAGCAGCTGAAAAACCATCATTTAGCAGCTGACTGAGCCATCTTCTGCAGGCTGGAGTCAGCTTTGCCTTTGGGAGTTTGACAAACACAGGAGAACCATTCCTAACAATTCTAGACCCTAGAAAAGGACAGATAGTTCTTCTAATGGACATATGTCTTGATTACTTTTCTCACTGTTGAGACAAAATACCTGATGCACAAAATTAGGGAACGAAAGGGTTATTTAGCTTACAGTTTATGGAGGTTTCAGTCCATTCTCAGCTGGCTCCAAGGCTGGGTGGTGTGGTTGAAGGGCAGCCGCTCTTGGTGGCTGCAAATAAGATAGAAAAGAGCAAAAATGTAACAAGTGTGCCTCAGGCCCTCCCCTATATTGTAGGCCAGCTCCGCCCCAGGGAAGTGTAGCCCTCATTCTGCCAATCCCAGTGCTAGACAACAAACCAATTATAAACGCTAGATTTATCCGTCTCCATGATGGCATGAGGCTTGGAGGCCACCTAGACACAAACCATAACATCATAGAAATATAATCAACAGGCAGAGAAACTACTAAAAATTCCCCAGGTTTCCCAGGACCTTTCTCTGAGGTGTTGGCTAGAGCTGAAACAGGGGTCTTGATTATCACCCGAGGGCGAGGTGAGCTGCCCCTCACTGTGAGAAGTCAGGAGGCCCCAGAGCAGCTGTGTGTGTGGTGCAGGAGAAGGTGAGAGGCTTGGGGAACAACTACAAAGCCAGGGAGTACCAGAGTCTTACAGCCCCAAATGAAATGTCGATCCAGAGTTTCTATCTAACCTAGAGCAACTCTGACAAGGGGACTACAGTGCTGTCTCCATTTGAAAACACCTCAGCTTCCAATTGGGTTCACCAAATAAAGCATTCTGCAAATTCTGTACATGGGGTGACAAACATGACAACACTCGTCTTTCCTGAGCAAACAAATGCAGCCAGCTTCCCCAAAATTATAAAACAAGTTCATAAACCAAGTTACTGTTGTGTATATAGGATGGTAAGGACAATTCCAACAGAGAGAGCAGAGCCTAAAGCAGGGCAAATCAGGAATCCAGTCCCAGCCTGTGCCTCGAGGGTATGGGTCACTTCTGTGCTCTCTGGCCACTGAAGACCTAGATTGGGGTGAAGGCAGAGGGAGCAGAAATGCTCCTGTGCTCATAGGGGGAGCTGTGGAAGGGCCTGGATTCTGGGGCTCCTAGCTGATCTGCTGTTAGGTAGGGGCCTGGTCAGAAGAGGTGGACACCTTGGGCGTAGCCTGGGGCTGCACTCTGCCCCCCAGTCCCTCCTTTCTTCTCTGCTTCCTGTCCCTGGCTGTGCACAGCTGTCCTCCCCCAGGCCCCTCTCCTTGCTGTCCTGCCTTGGAGCCCGCCAGCTGCAGGAAGGTGGGAGCCCAGCTAACCCTCTCCTCTGCTGAAATGTGGGTGCTACTTATTGCATCCCAGTGACAAGCAAAGTGACTAAGACAGGCAGGGTGGCTGATGCCTTCAGTAGACACACCTAACCGGGAGCTCTGGCTGCTGACTGACACCCCGACACCCCTCCTTTTCCAGCATGTGTGAGGAAGGCCTGCCACTCCTATGGGCTCTACGGGAAATGAAGAATGAAGTGACTATTGTCACGCCTGCACTGTGGTTAGGGAGACAGGAATTACAGGCACACAGTGGCAGTCAATCAGTTTTTCCCTTTGTGTGGTGATTTAAAGTTTAAACAGCGAAAAAGCATGTAAGTCTGAAACAGGTGCCTGAGAAGTCTGCAGCCCTCACAGGCCTACACAGAGAGGAGATGGGGCATAGACCACGGCTTGCAGGTTCTCCTTCACGCTGCCTACTCCAGGTGTGGTAGGCAGGGTTTACAAGCAAAAAAATTTAATATGCAACACATAACCTATAGGATTATTTTATAATATTCACCCAAAGAGTCAGATGCAATAGAGTTGAGAAAAAAGCTACATACTCTTAAGGGCCCGCCCCTGTGGGCCTGGAGATGAAGCCACGCCCTCAACCTCTTTTCCACCCCAAGAACCTCGGATTGCAGGAACCCAGGTGCCTAGCCCAATTTCCTGCACTGTGGGATGGGCAGCCATTGCAGGAAGGGCTGGGGACTCAGCGAGCAGCTGATTCAGAGGAACACAGGAAAATGTCAAGAGCAAGGTGCAGTCTCAGACCTATAGCCCACCCAGAGCAAATCCAGGAGACACAGACACAAAAGAGATTAGAAGTCGGACCTCTGGGATTTCCAAAATGATAGCAACTGAAGTAAAGAAACAACTTAGTTCTTACGTTGTTTGATTAATGTTGCATGCCTATATCTCAGAGTCTGAGCAACTATTTGGAGGATAACACTGTGCAATATAGTAACTATTGTTGACTTCCTACTGTTTTGTTTTTGAAATCCAATATCATTCTCATTGTTTTATTCTCTTAAAAATAAAATGAAACCAGTACTGATGTAATATCATCTTACTCTGAAGTCCTACCGTGCTCTTGCTCTTCTGTTTCCATTGGCTCTATCATGTTGTACCTTATTGGATTGTATTACGTGTGAAAGTACAAACAGATTTTCTATGGAAAATGAGATAATATAGTAGCCATTGTTTGTTTTCTGTTATTTGGTTCTGAATGCCCTGTAATACTCTCATTCTCTTGAATGTTTTTATACTATTTTGTTATGTTTGATACTATTGTATATGAAGTTATACTCAACTATTTCAAAGAGAGACATCGTGGTAGTTACTGTTAATTATGGGTTGTCTTCTGGTGAAATACTGTGTTACTTACATTGTTCTGCTCTGATCTGTTCTGTTACGTCCTGATTTGTCTTAATCTCTTTAAAATAATAAATAAATAAAAATTTAAAAAAGTATGGGAACCCTGTCCACACAGTAGAGACCCAAAGAATACACCTAAGGGCCTGGATCCCATGGCAGTGTCCTCCACAAGTTCAGTTGGAGGCTGGGAGCCCAAAGCAATATCTCACACAAGTCAGTATGTGGGATCTCCATTGTGAAGGCCAAAACGTCAGTGGTGGAAGCCACAAAGTGTGCCAGTGGGATAAGAGGTCTGTGCCAGCAGGCTGAGGGGTCTGCCCTGAAGCCAGGAAGTCACACTCGAGGTAAGGGCCAGAGTTCCCCTGAAGAGAACCTCAGCCATCCTCAGTGACAGCGAGTTTCTGAGCTCCTCTGATGAGAACAACTGAGTTTATATCAGGAAAACCAGTGTGACAAGCTGCTCCACAAGAATAGATAGCACACTCTTTCCCCCTCCAGTTCTCCGTTTGTGCCCTTGGCAACAATCCCCAGGTGGGCCTTCCACACTCAGCACCACACCCATTCAGTTCAGCTGGGTGTTACAAGCTGTCCATTAGTTCACCCACCACCACCCACCCCCGGTCAACTTGGGTAAGAGACACACTTCCTTGGACCATAGTCTCCAGTGGCAGATTGGGAAAAGTTAACATGTCTTGGTCTATTTACATTTACACTAACGTAACAATTACACATACACAATTCTTCAATCATTTCCACACCAAAAGCAACATATTGAAAGGATGATCAAAATTCAAGAATCACAATACTTTGACTAAGCTGATTACAAACATATCTGAAAGCTACATTAAAATCATACTAAAAGAGCTATTCCTATCACAATACTTGTTTCCCATTAACTTTTGACAACAGAGTATCTCAATACTATGAAATAGGAATCTCCTGCATTTCAGGTG